ACAAACTTGTTGCTACGCTCAATCACTGAATCTACCGGCCGCATTGCGCGCGGCCAACAAATTTCCTGGAAAAAAAAGAGCTGAAAAGAAAGGGACAGGAGACAAGAAACACAACAAGCACACCTGTGCTTTGCCTATCGATTTTCTTTTTTTTTCTTACAAGAGTTCGTCAACAGAAATACTGCTTTACTTAGCACTGTTGTATACATAGTTTGTCACTTACAAGATCAATGCCACGAAGGCGAAATATTCTCAATCAATGAGAATTTCAACGACAACATATTATCTACGAAAATAATTACGTACAAGTAATTATTCAATTTATAAATATTATAGCACTAAATTTCATAGTTAGAGTTGTAAGCATGATTATGTTTACTTCATCGAATGTGAGAATATCCGATAATTTTTATAAATATTCCGAAATTTGCAAAAATTAAAATTCGTTGGTTATTTATGCTTGAATAGCATATTTCAACTTCGCAGTTACTACGTTTTCTAAAACTTGTATCGAAATATGTATGCAAATTGCAATTACAACAATTCATAAAGAAATATAAACAATCAATTAAATAAATAACAGTCGAAAATATCTAATCGCGATCAGAATACAGTCTAATATAAACTATTACAATTTATCGTTAATATCTACCGACGCCATTTCTGTATACTTCGATATGTATCGAAGTAGATAAAAAGTTTGTTAACGATTTTAATATTTTATCTTAACAATGACCGATTATAAAATTAAAATCATGCTTGCAACGAATAACGTAATAAAGCTACAATAAAAATGTATAAATATTAATATGAATGTTAATTTTTGTTACAATTGTTTAAATGTTACCAATATTCCCTCCACAATTTGTCGACTCGTCTGCCATCTGTTATGGCGTCCTTTACGCGCCAATAAAAGTTTCCATGGCGTTGAATTTCAATCAGAGACTGCAACAGAAATAAAATACAAATTAAATCATAATTAAACAATGATTGATTATAATGAGGAAATAGCAAAAGGTTAGAAATACATACTTCGTTGGTCGCGAAACGCTGACACGTCTTGACAGGTTTCAACAAGTCTTATTATTTCTTCATTTCGAATTTCAATAAGAGACTGTAACAAAAACGAAATAACGATGCATTAAAGTACACAAACGATTATTATAATTAAGTAGTATGATTAAATCGAAACCGTATTGCAAGATATCATAATTAAAACGCGAGTAGTAATAGTGGAAAGATCAACAGGTTAGAAATACGCACCTCGGTCGCGGAACGCCGATACGTCTTGACGTCAAAGTAATGAATGATGGCCGTCCGCTGTGCTCGGCATTGCTCGCGAATTAGGCGGCGGGGTGGGGGGAGCTCCGATGTCTCACGAAGCTTACATTACGAACCCGAGGGATGCCTCAGATAGAAACCGCGGATAAACTGATTTTTAGCAAATTATTCACAACTTTAACTAGTCAAGGAATCGCGAATAATTCGTACTTTTCAACTGGTTGCATTTACACGCACTAGCTGTTGCCTGTTACACTAATTCAGTGAGTTTCTCAACTGACCGCTATCCATGAGAGGGCGCTAAAATCACCTCCGAATTTTCAGGTCGGTATGGCAGTCAGATTGGACCACGAAAGTCCATAAGGTGAAAGCGTCCTCTTCTCATGGATAGCGGTCAGTTGAGAAGCTATTGACTGAATTAGTATTGATGAGCTGACAGCTGCAGTGTGTGCATAAATGCATGTGAGTTGTCTATGCAGGGATTGAAATTCATTTCTAAATCTGTTGGTAACGTTGCGAGTGACACGAAAATGGTAATGAGGCTCTAAAGCCCCAGAAAAATAGACCGAACAAATACATTGGAAGAAAGGTCTATACGTATACCTCGTCTGTAATTCTACCATAGTTTAAGTAAAACCATAGCTGAAGTATAATATAGACTGTGCAACGTATGGAATATTTTACCTCACAAACTGAATTACATACCTATCGAGCAAAACTCCATTGGTTTTGCAGCGCACTCTACAGTATTCCAAAATCGAGTCTAGGGAATCCCGAAACCTTATCCCTTTCATTTATCATTCGGAATATCACTCATAATCGGGAAGTGCCTATCGATATAACGATTATTAATTGAAGTAGCTAATATATATGTACCTCAACATTTTTAGCAACTATAACTACACCTCTTTGTTTAAAAGACATGAATAGTAATTTTGAATTTAACAGAAACCCAAAATAGTACAAATATTTTTGTCAATATAAATAGAAGAGATAAAGCTTAGTAATTATTTGTATCGAATCTGTGAGCCATGGTGCTTTCTCTGAAAGGCTTATCGATTAATTTTATCATCGATCTCCGCGAAGAATGAACGTTTTTGTCGTAATGGTCGATTGTTATTTTGATCCAATCTTTTCCCAACGCCAATTACTCATCAGGAGTCTATAGAAACAAGACGCAGAAGCGTTTTACGTTACAATTCGTTCGATCGTTGGTCGGAGCGTAGTCGTTCCCGAGAAAGCCACTAGATCCGTGATCGTTCGTCGCAGGAACAAAGCCGACTGTTAGTAAGTAACATTTTCGACGATTGCCTAACAACTTATCGCGCTTGTTTCGTTCAAACATAACACTCGTAGTTGATTTGACAGTTGTGATAGACTCGTGTTATCGCCATGCGTTCGGTGCTTGTGTCAATTTCTTAGAATTAGATTAGGTGTCAGGTTTAAAAACAGCTTCACTTTACTCTGAATAAAATTTGCTCTTAGAAAATAGCTCAGGTATTATAAACCAGAGTGATAATAATAATTGTGTTTGTTCTTTGATTTCTTAACTCTAGAGGACCACCCTTATTTTTCAGTAACCCAAATACCGTGCATCTTTTAAATCCAGTTAAAGTTCTCGACGTTAAAGTGTCTAAAAATTCAAATATCACCTCTGACATTTCGAGAATTTTATTAATTAAGCAGTGCTGCCAAGCAACGTTTGTCGTATATCGATAAAAAGGTCGAAGGCTAGCTGAAATCGACACGATAAATGTTTCGTCAATTGCTTCGGAAGACAATAGCAGATTGTGGGGCGAGGCGAACAATGGATCAAGATCAAATTCGAGGACGACGCGATCGCTTGCGCGAATTTCAATTAGAATCCAACGTGGAGGTGATTGTTCTTAATACTGATACAATAGAACACCGATTGTCTAACAAATTAACTCCAATAATCGAAATGGGATTTTTTTCATTTCTAGAAAAGGCAAAGTTATAACTGCGAAGTAAAATAATTTTAAAAGTTATCAGAAAAACGAATAATTCTTAAATACATCTAAGCTTTGTATTCGTTTTGAAATGATTATTCGGATGGCATCTATTTTCTTTCGAGCATCTGTTTATCCCAACGCATTTTGGCATGGCAACGCCACGTTTTTGCAGTATCTATTTTTACGTTACTTGGTCCACTTTCTGGCTCCTTTGCTAATTTTAGTTGTTCCTAATACTAGCGGTCGTTTTCAAAATTGTATACAGGATGCTTCCAGAACGATGGGGCATGCCGGGATATATAAATTTCTCGTACGAAAACAAGTCGAAAAGTTCTGTATCATTTTACAATGCGAAACACCGTTTTCGAGATACGACCGGTTCGAGTTCATCGACTTCACTCTTGGCGCCATTTTTATTCCGGTCAGCTGATCGCGTGGCACCGTGCGAATAATTAAACGCTCGTATCTCGAAAACGGAGCCTTGGATCGCAAAATATCAAAGAACTTTCCCATCTGTTTTTTGCATAAGAAAATAAAGGTTCACGATTTACTTAATTATTTATTGAAAACAAAATTTCAGACGTTTCCTAATAGTTACGACTCTGAACTAGTCCTCGACGAACGCGTTTACGAGTCACGCGTGCGTCGATAGATTTTTACATTTTCTTGCGAGACAATTAAATCCGCGATACGAAGATTTTTATGCCCATTTACGATATCGTGGCCTTGTTTACTGTCACGTGGCTCTTTCCATATTTGCCGCTTATTATTCAAACACGCTATTATCGTCGCCGATCGAGTGTCGCGTGGTACAATGAATCCATTCGACTCCGCGAAATTCACTCGCCTCCGTTTGCGCCTCGTGTTAATCTTAATATCTGAAAAACAGAGGAGAAACTTAAATTTACTTTACTATTTTCTGTGCTTGAAATCATTTCATGGCCACGTTATCACGCATCATTGCATTTATCTTCGTTTCAGTTGTTACATCACAACGATAAAAAATACGTACTCCCGATTAAGTAAATATCGGTGACCTTAAAACTTTGAGAGGAAACAAATATCTCTCATCATATCTCACTCTCATCACCCCTAACCATTCATTTTTTATTTATTTGCTCGTACAATAACTTTCATCCGTTCTAAAAACGCTAAAAAATTGTAGATTTGTTATTATTTTTCTCTTATTTTCTTGGTGTTCTTGTATTATTAACTATTTACTTCGTTTTTTGTTCGAGTAAGTACTGTCCTCCGCTCACTTGAAGTCCCGCGGAAGGAATGCGGGAGAAGTAGAAGGGGCACACGTATTCCCACGCACACATTGGTCTCTAGCTCGCTATTCGTCGCGGCAGTTACACACACATGTGGACTGCCTGAGAGCAAGTGAGCAAGACAGATAAATGGGCGGTCCGACTCCCCTTGCCCCTGTGCCGTCTCGCGGGACTTCAAGTGAGCGGAGGACAGTACTTGCGTCGTAAAAATTGAGTCGCGCAAATACTATATATCGTCTGAATTATTTATCGTGGTGCTTAAATCGATCGAGAAGTGCAACAAAAAGTAGAATATTTATATCAGAACGATGTGAATATGTACTATAGAAAGCAACGCGATACGAAGTAATAAAGGTCATTGAGAAAACTCGTCTGTATAAAGAGCTGCAATACTCTTTTCATGATCCAGCCGCGATTCGTTGTACCTATAGTAAGTACTGATAGCGTGCGCTCGAGTGATTCGAGTGGTGTGTGTCATGCATGTTGTTCATGTATGCTCCTATAATTGAAGCAAGACCGCCGATAATGGTCAGTGTACTGTGAGTTGTCAGCATCTGAGGGTCTTTCTTGAACAATGAGGTATGGAACGATCGAAATACTCCACGAAATTGGTTCTCTGTCTCGTGGCAATTTAAGCTAAAGTAACTTGTTAAATTCTCAAGTAACAGCTTGCCCATTAACCGTACGCGAAACAAATCATATCGTTCCATTGCGAACAGCGTACTCTATTTGGACGCGAAGGGAATCGAGTTTTTCCGATTGCATGTTCTTCTGGCGAACGACGATGCTCGATCTTCGTTAATTTTGTTGTTAAAAGGAAACGCAAGAATTCAGGACTCGATTGCCAAACAGTTACTCGTCGAACCTAACCTTCTTGTCTCACTTTCACCAATAGACTATAGACTTTTGTACACTTGTTTCCATCTTATGAGTCACAAGTTATAACGAACGAAGTTGTTTTTCTACGTAAAGCGACGCCTCCTGTCAAATTAAATGTACGAGCAATCTATTTTCTATGTTGAACGGATAAAAAATTGAATTCCTATACAGAAGCGGTTATCAAATCTGTAAATTTATCAATTTTTTAGATCAACGTATTTCGAACCAGTGGTCTGCTGAATTTTTCTAAAAATTCCAATTCCACTAAATAAAAATTTATACTAGACTAGATAGGATTTTTAGGTGTTTACATGTTAGCGTAAACGTATTTTTAAGGTTGTTAGTCCGTAGCTATTTGCTGTAAGGTAATGGATTGAAAGAATGTATGAATGGAACCAGAGACGCTCGTCGATAGTGATTTGATACGTAGCTATCGAGCGTCGAGGAATGGCTTGTTTAACAGAATGCATGGAAGAGTTTAAAGGCCGCCATGTTAAAGAAAAATGATTCTATCTTGGAGAACGTGGCCACCTTCTGATAAGAGGACCCTACGATTAACCCTATGACACTTATCTCAAAACCTTCGATAGAATCGAGCTTATTTCTGTAAAGAAATTAAACTTTGGAAGTTTGCAAAGACAAGTTAGAAAGGTTGTAATCCCTCGATATAAGATACAATAGTGGTCTCCCAATATCGAAAGATTTCTTATTTTATCATTCAAATATCATGCCTTTCTTGGTGAAATATTTGTTCCTTGATTTCAGGGCCAGAAGCAGAATGTCGTCGTATCGGCCTTGGGGCTCCAGTGAGGACGGGGCCATCGAGTTCGAGTCCTTGACGGAGGACACACTCGAAGGCGCCCTGAACGTCATGAGGAAAAGTTTCTTCGTCCACGAGAGCGTTTGCAAGGGCGTCGCTTTGATCTCCGAGCCCGGTGCGTCGGAGGAACTCGAGGAACTTTGCTTGGACGCCGCCAAAGATGGCGTCAGTGTCGTGGCCATCGAAGTGGCCAGCGGCGAAGTGGTCGGAGCTGCTTTCAACAAGATTCAAGTGAGAAAATTTTTCCACTTTGGTTCTCAAAATTCCATCTAAATAGAGTCAACATTGAGAATTTATGAATTGCTATCCAGGTGTTGAAGAGCTCGACGGAGAAGAGTGCGTTCGAGGAGTTCAGCGAGAACTGCAAGCACAAATCGTCGAAGGCCTTGGTGGACTTCATGATAAACGTGGACTCGCGGATAAACTTGTTCCAGCATTACAACGCCAGCTGCATCTTCGAGATCATGTTCCTGGCCACTCTGCCCGGCATGCAGAAGCGTCGAATAGGGGAGCTGCTGGTGTCGTCGTCCATCGAGCTGGCGAAGGAGTTGAGAAGAGGGAAATCGGCAAAGACGCCGGTGAAGATCAATGGCGATGACGCCATACAGAACCCGTCCGCCGTGCCCAGCTTGGCGTCCGCGATAATGACCTCCGATTACTCTCAGAAAATCGCCACCAAGTGCGGTTTCGAGACACTGACGCGCGTCGATTACATAGAGTTCCGGTTCGGTGGGAAGACGTTCGACGAGAGGATAGGGGAGGAACATCCGAACTGTGCCCTGGTGGCCAAAAGATTGACCTAGGACCGCGAACGTTTACGTTCCATAGGAATTCTGTAACGAACGTTCGATTCTCGCGGGTAGTCGCGGGACTTGTACAATGGAAGCTTCCATTGTTTTCCACTTACATAAGGTCGCGTTCATCGGGCAACGATAATGCAGCCTCGCGTTATCGAGGCGGTCGTGCTCGTTAAACTGCAAACGAACAGAAACTCGGATAAGGCAACGTTTCGACCATCTACGAGAGTTCGCGTGTAATCGACGTAGATAGCGTGTGTTCTTGTTTGGCATCGGTGAAAGCGACGAAACGACAAGTATTATTAGGTATTTGTAGCCTTTATGCGATACCGGAGAATTTGCACGAATAAATAGAATAATACTTTGAACGATATCGCCTCCGATATTATTCCCTGTCATTTCTCGGGCTTCGAAGCTTTCTCGCTCGATCGAGAGAAGCTTAAAAGAAAATCAAGGAGACGCTCGATGAGTTTGTGGGGCACGTGCGCAGATAACAGAAATGTTTTCCTCGTGCAAACTGCACGATCGAGGCTAGTTATCAAGACACTGGCTGCATCAACACCGGCGATAATAGAGCGTGGGTCGTGTGCCACAACCAGTTCGAATCTAGCTTCATTGTGCCGCCGCGTACGCGTACGCTAAGTTCGCGTGCGTCTCAAATGCGAGTTAATCGTGTCGCGAAATTGTTAGATTAACGAGTGCGGGCCGTTCCCAGCCGACGTAAAGGTGGCATCGTTCGAAACGACCATTTTGGAGCCTGCGCTGCTCGACTGTGCGACGAAACGACCGGTAAAACACGATGGGGATCGATGTTACAGTTTCTCGCTTTCAAAAACGTCTTCGACCGTGGGAATATTCACGAAACGAGCACGTCAATTTAAACGTTGCGTCATCAAAGTTCAGAGAGCACGCGAATGTTAATTCCAAAGGCGTCGGTCGGTGCAGACTTAATCTCCGAAGTAAATATCTCTACGATATTAATATCTTCTACATTTTGTGCAATTTCTTGCGAGACCATATTTTTTCTGAATAAGAACTTTATTTTATTTTTACTCCAGAGGGGTGCAATTTTATAATTTTCTTCGCTTTAAATGCTCCACTGTACGGTTCAAATTTTTGAAAGAATTTTTCACTTTGTCGAAAGCTCCGTGCGGAAGATTTTATCACGCGTTGATGCACAGCTTGCATTCAAAGGGTTCGAGATCCCAGTGCTGGATGTTCCTCTGGTCGAGGTCAATTTCGATTTCATTTGACACCGTGCGATAGTAATCCGTGCGTCTTTCTGTAAGAAGATCGTCATGTCGAAGAATGTCGTCCAACCGGGGAAGCTCGAGTTCAAAATGCTGACCAGGGACAAAATTGAAGAGGCCATGATGGTCCAGGCGCAGACTATGAAACAGGAATGCCTAGCTGTGGGATTGGGAATGCTGGAAGAACCTGGAGCGCCGGAAGAGATGCAGTTGCTCTTCAGAGAGATCGTGAAAGACGGCGCTACGATAATCGCCGTGGACGAGGAAACCGACGAGCTAGCAGCGGTCGCCTTCAACAAGATACACGCAAGTCTTTCGTCCATTTTCCTCGTTTTTCCATTCCAGTTTACGGAGCCGGCCAGTCAACTTTCTCCGCCACTTTTCATGGAACGGTTCTCTGTGTGTTGAAGGCCCGGCCGAGGGAAGGCGTCAAGGATCAGCTGGAAATCTTCATGGAGCAGAACATGAGACATCCAACGTGTCTCGGACTGATCAGGCTTCTCGATGGCGTGAGTATTTTATGGATCGTTCATCAAATTCCTCCACTTCGTGAAAACCGAAATTTCATGTTGTTCTTATCCAGATGTTTTGCATCAAATATTACTGTTTCATCGTTGTTTTCCTTAGTGTGGTATATTTACTACTCGAACATGCGTTATTGCTTTGAGAATGGAGCGAAGGAAGGGTTAGAGCTGAGTTAGAAAACCGAAATTTCATGTTATTCTTGTCCAGGTGTTTTGTATCAAATATTACTATTTCATCGTCGTTTTCCTTGGTGTGGTGTATTTACTACTCGAACAAGCGTTATTGCTTTGAGAATGAAGCAAAGGAAGGGTTAGGTCTGGGTTAGAAAACCGAAATTTCATGTTATTCTTGTCCAGGTGTTTTGTATCAAATATTACTATTTCATCGTCGTTTTCCTTGGTGTGGTGTATTTACTACTCGAACAAGCGTTATTGCTTTGAGAATGAAGCAAAGGAAGGGTTAGGTCTGGGTTAGAAAACCGAAATTTCATGTTATTCTTGACCAGGTGTTTTGTATCAAATATTACTATTTCATCGTCGTTTTCCTTGGTGTGGTGTATTTACTACTCGAACAAGCGTTATTGCTTTGAAAATGAAGCAAAGGAAGGGTTAGGTCTGGGTTAGAAAACCGAAATTTCATGTTATTCTTGTCCAGGTGTTTTGTATCAAATATTACTATTTCATCGTTGTTTTCCTTGGTGTGGTGTATTTACTACTCGAACAAGCGTTATTGCTTTGAGAATGAAGCAAAGGAAGGGTTAGGTCTGGGTTAGAAAACCGAAATTTCATGTTATTCTTGACCAGGTGTTTTGTATCAAATATTACTATTTCATCGTCGTTTTCCTTGGTGTGGTATATTTACTACTCGAACATGCGTTATTGCTTTGAGAATGGAGCAAAGGAAGGGTTAGGTCTAAGTTAGAAAACCGAAATTTCATGTTATTCTTGTCCAGGTGTTTTGTATCAGATATTACTATTTCATCGTCGTTTTCCTTGGTGTGGTATATTTACTATTCGAACATGCGTTATTGCTTTAAAAATGGAGCGATGGAAGGGTTAGGTCTGGGTTAGAAAACCGAAATTTCATGTTATTCTTGACCAGGTGTTTTGTATCAAATATTACTATTTCATCGTCGTTTTCCTTGGTGTGGTGTATTTACTACTCGAACATGCGTTATTGCTTTGAGAATGAAGCAAAGGAAGGGTTAGGTCTGGGTTAGAAAACCGAAATTTCATGTTATTCTTGTCCAGGTGTTTTGTATCAAATATTACTATTTCATCGTTGTTTTCCTTGGTGTGGTATATTTACTATTCGAACATGCGTTATTGCTTTGAGGATGGAGCAAAGGAAGCTAAGGTGCAGCTTCTACTTTGAATTCAATTTTTTGGAGGATGCTTGAGATGAAAATGAAGAAACAATTCTCTAAATTCAAACGACTCTACGCAATGTAACAAGTTCTTTTGGAGATTCTTTTTGCATTATGATGAAAATGACAGTCTAAAAATCGTCGAACGATCTTTTTATCCTGAGATATTACACTTTGAGTGAAAAGTGTGCCGCCGGCATTAGAGTTACCCAAGGTACACCACGAGGAGGTTGCACGGTCGGACTTGTACCTCCTGCATTTGTTTTGTGTACATTTTGCTTTAGTTTTAAAGAATAATCGAAACGATACCGCGTTATAATTGCAGATAGAAACTAGCGTGAACATTTATAAGAAGTACAACGTGAACGGAGCGATGGAACTCTTTTATCTCGGGACGAATCCGCGGTACCAGGGCCAAGGAATCGGCAGCCAGATGATGAAGAAGTGCATCGAGTTCGGCAGAGGGCTCCTGAACGGCACCGCGAAGAGGAACTCGATCGACGGGCCCATCGTCAACGAGCACGTGCTCCCGGAAGTGATATTCGGGGTGTTCGCCTCGAACTACAGCCAACGGATCGCTGAGAAACTGGGCCTGGAATCCCTGCACGTGATGCATTACGAGGATCACGATTTCGCCGGCAGAAAACTATCAGAGAGGATCGGCGACGTTCACAGAACCGCCAAACTGCAGGCGCTGAAACTCTGAGAGGCCCTAGATTTCGTGTCGCGCTAGAACCAACTGTAAGGAGGCCAAGGCTGCCTTGTTTGGTCTGTCGCGGCTGAATCGCGTCGATAAGTAGTTGAAATTAGGCCGCTTATACAGTTTACTTCCCCTCCACTCAGAGCACTGCAAAAATGCGTGCATTTCCAACGTAACGAGTAGTTTTGCGTCGTCGTATCTCTGAATCGCGGAGATGGGAAAGATAAAGGAGAAGATTGTACTAAATTGTGAACTATATGTAATGTAGGTGGGAGTATGTTCAAGAAAAATTTCTTTCTTCAGTTATTCTGTTCAATAAAATCGAGTGGGCCTGTTGAGTCAACCGCTCCATAAAGTAATAGTTGTAAGATTAATGAACAAACTGCGGATGTTTATGCATTTGTGGGAGATTTTAATTTTCGAAGAACCACATAATGCACTTGATATACAAAAATATAAGAAATACTTAAAGCAAGATACAAAGCTCTCGATACAGACAATGATATGAATTTGCACAAAGATTCGTGGTTTATTAATCATTTACCATGTAGAAACTCTGAAAATAGATAACGTTTGAGTATTCGAAACGAACATTTTCACTATCTTGTTTATCACCTTTTCGTAGAATATTCGTATAAAACTCGGGTCGCAAAGGGTGAAAACCAGAGTCCAGGCTTGAAAAATAAGAGCACTCGGTAAAAATTTCTGAGCAACAAGTTGAAGAGGCCCTACATTAACCGCCCGCGAGCGTCCTCGAGGCATAATTAACTTTGAAAGCTGTATTTAGCTTCCCGTAACACATTTGAACTCGGTTATTTCGCGAGCGAGCGTAGGACGAGTGGGGGGAAAAAACATCAGCACTGTTTACATGTCACATTTTTTTATATAAGTATATATATATATATATGTATGTATGTATGTATGTATTAACACATTTACAATCTGGTACATAATTGTTGAATATAGTGGAGTATATTGAGCGTAATTACGAATCCAAATACCGGCGACGGCAATGCGCTCGTTTTATCTTTTCAGTTTTATTTTTTTTTTTCTTTTTTTTTACTGCCATGAGGTATTCTTCTTTCTTGGACGACTTGTTTCGCGCGTTAGAAATATTTGAGCTATTCGGCTGGCTCACAGCTCTTGAATCGTGAGAGTTCAGCGCGCCAATGAATTTTGTACGATTGTTAATACTGATGAACGTCAAAATGGTACAGACCATAGTGATCGAGGGGTTTGTTAAAAGCTACGTTCCGATGGAGTTCCAAATTGCACCGCAACATTTCGACGAGGGCTGCAACAGGGTGTAAATGAAGGAGAGTCAAATTTTTCGTGGACGTATGAAAACACTCGAGTATCCATCGTGCACAATTACGGACTCGTCAAAATGAATTATCCACTCCCGACAAAGTTTCTATATATTAGCAAAGTATGAAGAAATACAAATCTCAAAGATCGCTCAGCACCGATCGTTGCAGCCACCTCGTCGAAATATTGAAACTGTTTCTACGCAACTATTTTCATCACATTCTGTCGTCGAAATGTTGGATTCCCTCTCTTTCGAAAGCCTCGGACCCCGGAGAATGAACAAATTCGAGGAATCGTTTCACGGGATGATTTCATCAGCGTACCGGAAGCCGAGGTTTTCGCACGACTGCCAGAACTACGATCGAGATGCCGCGTTCAAACGATACACACACGAGTTCGAACACCCGTTATAAATATACGGCACTGCTGATCGCTGGTAAATAGTTCTTTTTTTTCTTTTTTATAAGTTTATAAAGCGTCTATCTGAAAGAGATGCGTCGGCATCGCGCGCTAGTTTATCGTATAATAATTGTTTATCGTATAATCGGTGAGATCGCACTACGGTCCCGTTATAAAAATATTCAACCGTAACCAACCAGATAAAACGCTATTCTTAAAACCGTAACAACCATTCCATTTCTGGACACGCGAGTCAAAGAAAAAATTCGAATTTCTTCCGCGCGAACGGTCAACCCCTCGAGGCCACGATTGTTTGATAAAAAAATAAATTGCTATCAGAAGCGAGCGTGTGGACCATTGCAACGGTTCACCGAGAAAGTCGCAGTATTTCCACCTATTCATGCGACTGGTCAACATTTGGCTATAACAACAAGCGCAATCGAATAACATTTTGTGGAGCAATCTGAGTTAGGCCTGAAAGGGTTGACGAGCTACTCGCCGCGCAGTAACAACGGCAATTTATTGGCCAGATTTGCAGAGTTAAAATGCAGGCTGAGTCGCGTATTTCTTAGAAAATAAAGATCAAAACATTCTCTCTTTTATATAAATCTGTTTACACGTAATTATCCGGGAAGCCTGTTTTCACCAACCTGTTCTGTTACAGAATCCTAAGAAACGTGCACCGTTAAAATATCAACGATCGTAGAATAACGATTTTTAATGCTATTTTTCTCACAAAAAAATCAGAAACATTACCTTTCTTTCGACATCCATGGTAACCCGTTAAAATTACAGATTCCTGGGCACCCATCATCGTCTGGATCGACGCGACTTCCAACCATAACTCTGCTCACCGAATTCGCTAGGACAACTCGCGTCTGTCCAAAAAACTTTAGAATCATTTTTGCCGTCGAGCAACGACGTGTCGAAAACGTAAACTCAACTACGACTCGAGACTATTCTCTTCTCGTATTTTGTAGAAGTACACGATCCCCCTTAAATACAGACGATTAAATGCTGCGACTATAGTGTAATAACAATAGTAGTTTCGTTATTGTTTCATCGTTATTGTATCTGCTAATTAGTTCTTACGAACGTTTATTACTGTTGTAAAAAATCGTGGACGTATATAGCTCTCCGACTAGAATATGATTGACGTTATTTCCAACAATAAATATTTCTCTCTTTCTCACTGTCTCCCTTTCGCTCTGATTGGCTAGAAAATTATACGTTTCTAGCTTCTCGACGGCTGCCAATAACAATACTACAACGCTTCAACACAGAACAACGACACTTAATTACAGTTTACGTTACTTGTTTACGATTATTAATATACGGGAGTTAGTTTACTTAATCTACGCCCGAGTCGCGTGTTTGGAGACTCGAGGGTTTGGCACGAATTACATATTTTTAGTTCGTTCGGACGCTCTTTCGGGCCGCTCTTTGAACTTTTGATTCATTTTGTTCCTTTCACGCCAGACAGCTTCGATCAGCATTGTTTTTGGGACTTCGTGTGTCAGTCCGGGGAGAAGGAGGAGTGGAAATCTCAGGACTAGAGAAACGATTCACTCTACGGAGTAATTATTCTACGATGAAACACGGTGCTCGAGGAGGAACGTCAACCTTCGTTAAACAAGGTTCCCCTAAAAATCATCGACCCTCCGCTGCATAAATTCTCAACTCAGAAAATTATCCAAAGCCTGTTCTCATCGATTGTATTATGCAAAAGAGGGTCGAGTACGAAAAGTGTTTCTAAAATTGTTCACCAAACGCTGGAAGCATCTGTAAATTTGCGAAAAAAGCAACTCCTGGTCCACGAAATGGTCAATAAACTTGTGCTGCGATAATTGTTACCAACTACGGCTCGATAGGATCGCTATTACGAAAAGTCGATACTCCCAACTTTGAGAAAACCTTTAAGAAAGATTTCCTACGCGCACTACTGTATATATGTAGAAATACGGTGTAGACTAATGTTCGCTAACGAATGCGTTACGTAGTTAATTAAAAACGTCCATGTGGGATTGTCTACGAACGAAACGAAAGTCCGTACGAGTATAAAAAGATTACACGTTTACGCCGCGGATTCTGTCTGGATAAAGTCTTCCGTCGATATACGCAAGCAGAAAAGCATCGTCCCAAACGAGTTCCTCGTCGCGATAAGTTTACTGACTCAAAAATTCTTGCACGCACACGCGCCCACGCACTCACCATTCGCGCTTATTTCGTAATACTGAGGTCTCTGCATTCCAAAACGTCGATTTAAGAGTAGTTATCGTACGACCGGTTGCTTCTCACGAATCGTTGTATGTTGTAAATAATGGATCGTTAACTGTATTGCTTTGTGAACATGAGAATTTCGCATCTTATTCCCGCGACGGTGCACTCGGGTTTGCAATTTTCGCTGTCGACTACTGTGCAGGGCTGGAAAAACAGCAATGACGTTTCGACCAATAATAAACGACGAGGCGTGACCAATCACCGTCCCTCCCACTCGTCGTATTTCCAACCGTGCACAGTACACCGCGAATTCTAAGCAAACTTGCGCGCTATTCGAGTTTATAAAATATTTTCTGTGACTCTTTTTCTCATTTTTTTTATTCTGTTTTGCTCCGCATTCACGCCGTTACTTTCTCTCCGACACGCACACTGTACAACACGCGTAATTCGAACTGTTCTCGAAAATATGAAGTATCTTGTTATCAAAATAAAATATAAATTGGCAATAACGTTGTGGCTAGACGAATGCTCGCGCTGGCAACACATAGGAAACATCGATCGCTTTTCTCCTACCTCCTCCACCTTTTTTTTTTCTTCTTTTTTCTTTTTGTTCCGTTTCGTGTGCACGAGATAATCAATATTATCGTTTCCCCGTCCCCAAGCCCCCCCAACCCCGCCCCTATCACAACTTTACAGGAAAATTTTTTATTTATCTTTTTCGCGCACCCCGTTCGGAGAAGAAACTTCCGTCGTCGAGGAACCGCGACCCGGTCGGATCGATTTAATCGGGTGTGAGGACCCTTCTCAAACCCCCCGAACGGCTCTCGAGAATTTTTTTGTCTCGCGATTCGTACGTCGAAAAATTAATTGGGTCGGTTCCCCGTTCGACTCCAATCGTCTCCAAACGCCTCCTCGCGCTACTTATCAATCCTGGAGCCTCTCTTCGACCTCTTGCCAACGTCTTTTCGCGACTTCGGCATACCAGAACCCACCTGCAAGCTCCAGAATTAATTAATCAAAAAAGATTCCACGTTCCAGAAGTACCACGAGGTTACGAACTGTCCCGTGGGAGCGTGCACGCTCGTTAAAAAATTCTCAGCCGCTCTGTCCGCGAGAAATTCATCTCTGGGAAGGCTCGCATTGCGCGTCCGGCGATTGCATCGTCAGGTAATAGGGCTGAGTGTCCCTGAAGTGTGATCGAACGAGCAAACCCAGACCCAACAGGACCACGGGCAGTCCGAGGAGGGCGCAGATTAGTTCCCCGGTGACCGCGGGCGACCATGAGATGAAACCTGTTCGCATTTCTCACTTATTATCACCCTCGATGGTAGCCCTTAACGCTAAGATTCTTACGATATTTTTTATGTATAGTGAATTATAAAGCTAACTTCCAAATTAAATAAGATTCGACAAATATTCTGTTTTGATATTTTGATGTAATTGTGATATACAGAGTGCTCGGCCACCCCTGGGAAAAATTTTAATGGGAGATTCTAGACGTCAAAATAAGACGAAAATCGAGAATATCGATTTCTTGATTGAGACTTCGTAAAAAAGTTATTAAATTTAAATTAAGAAATTTCAAATCATTCTGGAAAAATTATTAGCGGTTGCGGGAGTCAATTACAATCAGTTTTGGTCAAATCACATATCCCCGAAATCCTACGCACTTTCAAGAAAAAAATTCGAGTAGATGAACAAACTCGACAAAATTAAAAAATTTCAAATCGTTCTGGAAAAATTATTTTTGGTTGCGGGAGTTAATTACAATCAGTTTTGGTCAATACACATACCCCCGAATTCCTACGTACTTTCGAGAAAAAAATTCGAGCAGGTGGACAAACTTGATAAAATTAAAAAATTTCAAATCGTTCTAGAAAAATTATTTTTGGTTGTGGGGGTCAATTATAATCATTTTTGGTCAAATCACATACCCCCGAAATTTTACGTACTTTCGAGAAAAAAATTCTTTATCGAAAATTTACTGTGTGGCCAGAAATATTCCCCCGAAATTTCATACGTATGTTTAAAAAATCATAACTTTTGGACGGTTTGAAGGATTTTAATGACCCAAAATTCAAACAATGCGTATTAATAGAACTCTAGAGCCCCAGAATAATGGACCGAAAAAATACATTAAATGTAAAGTAGTATTCTTAATTTTCGTTTCATTTTGGTCTCTAGAACCTCTCATTAAAATTTTCCCCAGGGATGGTCGAACACCCTGTATATGTAGGCTGTTGGATTGGGATTAAAGTGTGATAAAGTTCAATGGAAAATTTTATTTTTAAAATTGCTGGAAAGTGTTGACTCACCACCGTGTGCACCGACGTCCATTTTGTAGATGCTCCACCAGATTCCGGATAGGGGAAGAGAGACGGTGGTGGTGGCGATAGTGAAGACAGCGCTCTCGCACATGGATAGGAAATTAAGTACGGAAATGGAGAAGACTAAGTACGCGATCAGGAAGGTCCATCCGTGGGTGGCGATGTTCGAGCAGGATTCGCTGTTTTTGAAGTGACACGTCAGTCCGTGTTCCACCGTGCGGTACAGTTCTACCGGCGACAGGCCCTGGGTACGAAGGAACAGTAAATCCATTCGAATCTAACATTCAAAAGCACCTGCCAAGTTATCCGGAGGCTGAACAAATTTTGATTTCCCTACCCTGCCTATTCCTGGTAGCGTGTCTATCCAGCACATCGTCAGAATAGCGAAGAACGCGATCATGTGTATGTAGAAGAGGGTTTCCAGTATGGGGGGTTTCGGAATGTGTTTGGGCCTGATGGTGGGATCGGGGTCCGTCACGTGCAGCAGTCTGCCCCCCTCCTCATCGGAACCCCGTCGTCTGATGTCTCTGGACGACACCAATCGCGACACCGTGTATAGAAACGAGTTCTGCTGACTTGCCATCAGCTGGCACATATTCTGCTGCTGAGAGAGGAGAAGAGATTTCGTCAACAGATAATAAAATAACTTTGTTTTTAATATCGAGGAATTGGAAAATAATTTCCATTTAAATAGCGTTAATGGCTAGGGGGGAAGGATGTCGTTAGAAGGGGCACAATTATCGTTAACCCGGGTGATAGCTGGGGGTACGTGTTTGGATTATGAAAGCGGGGCAACGACTGAAGGGTTAAACTTTTAATCGAAGTTGGTGGTGCCGCGTCGTCTTTATGAACTAATAACCGAACTCTCACCTCGGTGGTGTAATGATCTTCGAGTAGCGTGAAGAACATAGCAAACGCGGCGAGGGAACCGACATAGACGAACGTCCAAACAGCCCTCGCGCCCCAGGAACCTTTCATCGTGGCGGCGTGGGCTGAAACTTCTCTTCCTCTGCATCGAAACTCATCGCAGAGACCATAATCGACGCTTATGAACAGACCCACTATGATCGTGGTGCTCGAGAAAATCCGCTGCAGGCTCATCACTGAAACAAGACACTCCTCATTCGCGAGAACTCTATAAAGTTATCAGACTGCGGATATTTATGCATTTATGAAAAATTTTAATTCTCAAAAAACTCCCATTTCATTAATTCTATCAATAAAAATATGAATTTGCATGAAGATCCGCAGTTTATTAATCATAGCTGTTAAAATACAGAAGCTCGAGCAAACTGCAAAATTGAAATTACTTCAATTCGAGTGTCCCTGATTTCAATTTTCCGATCGTTCGAACACGTTTATTTTTGTAAATTCTATTTTTTTTAAATGTTTTAATTGTCTCTCTGCATTCGATACCAAAATTATTTTTAAAAATCGTTCGAACGAATATTGGAAACTGCTATTAAAAAAGGTTTCAAAACCGTTTTAATCGACGGCTTGATCAACAAATTGCTGCTGGAATTTTTCGGTTGAATCAATTTACGAGAATTTACCGACGTTCCCAAAATAACAATTCCCATAACCCAATTGTTTCGCGTTTCGCGTGCACGAAAATACAGTTATTTCTTCTCGTGTGAATAATTTGGAAACGGAACATTACTTTAATTAAGTGTCGCGATTCTGTAGGCGACATCTTAGGCGCACAACGAGCGTGGATTATGAAATGATAGTTACTTTTTCGGCAGAAGAAGAAATAGTAGACCAGAGAGAAGACCAGAGTGATGCCTTTAATCGGATCTTGCAGGTGACATAGCACTCGGTTCTGGTCCAAGGCGAGGGTGATTAGGATGCCGGAGAGGGCATAAACGGAGCTTATTTTGAGCAGAGAACAGCGGGGTATCTTGATTCGCATACTATTAGGAATCATCGCCGGCGGTGGTGACACTCTTCCCACGACGAAGCACATGATCCCCAGATATGAAGCGGAGCTCATGGCAGTGAAGAGGAGTCCTAAAAACATGAGAAATGTATGATTAAAGAAACTTCACGATGCTTCCCTCGACATATACTTCAAGTAACTCTGAAATTAACCCTAGAATAGCACCAATATTTCTCTTGGAAAGTTGAAATTCTTTCTTTCCATACCAAAACGGTACAGCACAATCTTTTTGGGTTAAGGTCAATTTTATGGCAACTATTTTCAACGGAATCTCGCTGTAATATGCTGGCAACATTATCATTTGGCAGTGACCGGAATACATCGGGAGGAAACTTTGTTCGAACATGGAGTTATAAGTATCGTCCTCCGTGAAGCATTAGCTTGTTTTTGACTGTGTTCGCCAATACTCGCGATATTTACCCCGGCGCCAAAATTTTGTTCCCAGGCAATTGGAGACTACGTTATCCGGCTGTCGTCGTATCATTTATAAGATCAAAATTTCTGAATCCTATCCAGATTGATTTTCTTCGGTATCTAGCTCGCGAGAGTGATTTTTTTTTCATTCGTTCGCGGAGAGCCCGGTTGCTGTTCCAGCAAGCTAGTAACGATTCGATGGAAATATCATGTATAAAGAAATAATAAATGAAGCGTCAGTCTCGTGCGCTGTGTTATTTTAGGAATTCAGGTTCGTTAAATTAATATCACGATTGCTTTTCGTTCCAATTCATTGGAATATTCAACTATGAATATAATAACAAGGGAGGATATGTTAGTCGTTTAATTGAGACTTACAATTTTGTGAAACTTAAATCCGTTGTGAAGGTTTCGTGTTGTATTTCTCGCGATAATTTTCGCTGAAGTTATTCTAATTATTCCTGTCCCCGATAATAAGGAGGATAAAAGCAACGTCGAGGCAATATTCCACCGAATTGGCACGATTAACGTTATCTGTTATTTCCTGAACTCGTTACCTGTGTAAGCGTTGGAAACGGTGCTGACACTCTCCAGATAAAGGGGATAGGTGATAATCAAAAAGGTAATGGACACTACGACGGTGAGGAGGGTGGCGACGAAGCTGAATTTTTGCCATGCCACCCTGTCCGTATCGAACAGCTTATCGGCGCCCTGATAACCGACATATGGTGATTCCTCGGTGTCCGTGTACTCTTCGATCTCGACGTCGCTACCCGTGCATCGAAGCTCTTCCTGTTCCTCGTCGTCCACCATCGCGGAGACGCAACCCGCCAGGCCCGCCATTTTTACGATTTACCGCTGCTGGAACACGCGACGAACATTTTTAGCCCTAATAAATTAACCCTTTTTAGATATATCGTCGTTTGCTACAATTGCGAAAAATACCAACGACGATATATCGTTGCGTATGCGATGGTGCCTTATTCTTCGCATTAGGAGAAAGTTCTGTCTCAAAAAAAATTTGTAAAACATTATAAAGGGTCTAATTTTATTGCAAAAGCATTTAAAAAATTATTTTTGGGTTTAACCCTTTGCCCCAGAAGCTTTTCTCGCTCGGGCGAACCAGCAACACAACACTACTTTGTGGCGGAAACGTATGTATTCTGGAGTCGTCATAGTACACAGGGTGTTCGGCCAATCCTGGAAAAATTTTAATAGGAGATTCTAGAGGCCAAAATAAGACGAAAATGAAGAATATCAGTTTCTTGACTGAGGCCTCGTTAAAAAATTATTAACAATTAAATTAAAAAATTTCCAACCGTTCTGGAAAAATTATCTTCGATCGCAGGGGTCAATTACAATCATTTTTGGTAAATACACATACCTCCGAAATCCTACCCACTTTCGAGAAAAAAATTCGAGTAGGTACTGAACTTTTTAGATGAAATTAAAATATTTAAAATCACACTAAAAAAATTATATTTAGTTACAGGGGTCAATTACAATCATTTTTTATCATTACACATACCCCCGAAATCCTACGCATTTTCGAGAAAAAAATTTCTTACCGAAAATCTAATTAGGTGCTTAAATTTTTCGACGAAAAAAAAAATTTCAAATCGTTCTGAAAAAATTATTTTCGGTTTCGGGGGTCAATTACAATCATTTTTGGTGAATACACATACCCCTGAATTCCTACCCACTTTCGAGAAAAAAATTCGAGAATGTGTGAAATTTTTCGACAGCAAAAAAAATTTCAAATTGTTCTGGAAAAATTATTTTCGGTTGTGGGAGTCAATCACAATCATTTTTGGTGAATAGACATACCCTCGAGATCCTGCGCGTTTTCGAGAAAAAAATTCAGTACGGGCTCCATTTTAAACGTTAATAATTTTTTAACAAAGCCTCACCATATTTTGAATTGATTATTTATTAAAAAATCATTGAAAATCAAATACTTATACTTTATGCTACGTGACCTACATAAAACTGTGATCAAACAATGATTATTCTTATGTGTAAATATTGTTTGTAGAAGAGAAACTTGTTTCAATGTTTTTTATCATATTTTATAATTATGTTATTTATACGATTTGCAATAAATATTGAAATGCAATTGTCATTACTTTATTCTTTCTTTATTTCGTAATATGCTCCTTTTTGAATTTTGTAAATATCATTCTTAGTTTGGTTTTTACGAGCTTTTTCTCTAACCATAACAAACTCGTCAAATTGGCTCGGTATTCTTCGCATAGGCACTAAAAGGATTAATAGACTGCGGACTATTATGCAAATTCATATTTTTATTTATAGAATTAACGATATGGAAGCTTTGCAGAGGGCTGTCTCAACCCCTAAATATAATAATTCGTATCTTACTTTAAGTATATCATATTTTTGCATATTACATGCATAAATATTCGCAGTCTATAAATTATCACTAGAACTACCAATTCAATCCTAAATTTTTAATAAAACTCGTAAAAATTTACTCGACTGAATTTTTGAAAACTTTAAGAGACACTTATTTCCATTGTATTATACATTTCTTCACGTGTCTATCGTTTTTATTTCTTTGGTACAAATAAATACACTATAATTGTCGCTAGTTTTAATGTTAATCACGATAAAATTTCAAATCAACGCAAAGACCCAAAATTATGCGAGTTTTATGGATTTTCGAAGCTCCCAAACACACGTCGGAGCCATAATTACGATCGAAAAAGGTTTCATGAAAGAACGATATCCTATTGAATCTAAGTACAATGACAACAGAGCGTCATATTGTCAACGAGGCGAAGCCATGCATCAGAAATTGATCCAAAAACCCACCGGTATTGATCAACGGGCACGAACTCATTCTTCTGCACGACAATGCTAGGCCGCATTACACGTCAGAATGGCAAAGTCGCATTCCCGTCCAATTACATTTCGACTATAAAATTCCGCCGCGTTTTGCTCGCCGAACGAAATATTTCTCCATCGCGTTTGAAACATTTCGCGGGAAATCAAATTACAAGTTATAATTTCGCACGAGGGACGCACGAAGATTCCTGCAGGGTTCATTCTGCGAAAGATAACAGACGCGGCGCCGCCATTGTAATTAGCGGAATCATTTTTCGTTAACGTCTCTATAAATTTCCACCGAACCGGGACAGAGACAGACGGGACTAAAACTTCCGAAATTACTTTACACCGAATGAATGTTTAATTTCTCTTGGCTCTTAACATAAATTTCCTTCCACTATATTTCTTTCCCGCTTTTCGTCCGTTCCGCTCACGATTCAATCTTACTTAAAGCACGGGAAAGCAAGACCGGATAATTTTTCATCGGGGAATATCCTTGTTCGTAAATTGGGCCCGTTAGCCAGTGATTTTGTCAACGTTGCAGCGCAGCCAGTCACCGTAATTAAACAATAACGTTCCCGGGGAATGGAACAACAGAGTTTCTTAAAAGATTTAAAGAGTCACTTTTATCATAGCGCGTACAGTTTCAAAGTACTGAATCGGGATTACGGGAGAGAAGAAATTATTTTCGCATGCATTTTCGTTGGGAACATTTCCTTTCGCAAAAACAAGAGAATTCCATTTCTTAGTTATAGAAGTTTTTCTCGAGATAGAGATCCTCCATTTTTATCAATGCGAGAGATAAGATATTTAAAAAAAAATTCAGCAATTGTAGCGATATCGGAATTAAAATGTTACGTTATTTCATTCGCTAATGGCGTTTTAACGATAGAACAATGTAATGTTTTTCTCACGCAATAAAATGAAAATGTTAAATCGTGCATCGAAGCATGTTATCGAAGAGTGCCCATTGGTTTCGATGTTAGGTACTATCAAAGAACATAGCGAACTTGTTCACAGTCCACGAACCACGCGAAATGATTGCCATCGATTTGTTTTTACCTCTGTTTTCCCGTCCTCGTCCTTGGGAATGTGCGATTAACGAGCACGTCGCATGCACGAGCTCGCCTATGCACACTTTTTGTTCCCGACAGATTAGATAACGCCCTTATCGGTGCACAGGAATCGGGAAATTTCATGCACGTTCGTACAGAAATTTCCCCGAGAATAAAAACTACATGGACATTTTTACGAAACGAAATTCACTGAACTACTTACTCGCTAAAGTCTGAGAGACGCGAAGAAGTTTGATCGAAAAAAGACCACCTCGTAGAAAGCGCCTATTCATTAATATTTATAAGAGCTTAGCTAAATATCAATTCACTCCAGCGTGGAAGAGCACTCTCGGATCTAATCTTCTTATTTAAAATCTTAAATGGTATGATCATTTGTCTTGAGCTGTTCGGGAGGATTCCTATAAATGTACCACCGAGATTGATCAGGTCTGCTTTTCTAATCCGACCTACAAGGTAGAGAACCAAGCTGGCTCATAGTGACCCCATTCACAGAATCAGCCATCTAGCAAATAGCCTTGGTCGAAGCGTGCACTATACTAATATATTATGAGTTCGTTTAAACACCACGGTGAAAAATTTACTGATTTAATTACAGATGCTTACATTAATTTTAATAAGCGCTTTCTATATGTTAAAATCTTTATAATACGAGGCTCGACTCGTTTATAAGCGAAATAGATGAAATAGTTTTGTAGCGTGATACCAGAAATGTTGCAACGCAATGAAATAATAAAATAAAAATTAGTGTACGTTAGATGATACTCGAATTCTCAGAACGATTTTCAGGTGAAATTTTCTTTTATATGTCATCAGGTATACTGAATCCTCGTTTAATATTTTACGCGATTCTGTAACAGCCTTTTCACGTTTAAACACGTGACAGCATACACGAAGTGTTCCAATATTTATTGCAAACGTATCCTACTTATGCAGGGCGGTTCTAGAAACTGGGACAAGATGTCGCCCTTTCCTCAGAAAGGAAGTACAAAAAATTGGGGACGATCTTTTCACGATACAATTTCTTTTTATGCAATATGCAACTGTGCTTGTTTTTTTTTAATTAGAACGACGCACTTTTCACACGAAGATATGAAAATACGACCATTGTTGATTTAATATCATATTTAAAAAATAAGGAGTATGTTATAAAGATTTATATAAAAAAATATAGTTTAAATGAGAGGCAATGTACAAACCGGAAACAGGAATTAATATCAACTAAAATCGCGTTAAATTGCGGAACGATAAACGTATACTGTTTCGAGGGAAACAGAGGCGGTCGGATGAATGAAAACAGGAAATGAATATTAAATTGTAAAGCTTCCGGTTGAGTCCGGGATTGAACGGGATTAAGGAAGTAAGTCCAGCCAGAATCGAGAAGTTTCTTCCATTAAAGTAGAGAATTAATACAAGCTTCTTCTATTAACAGCGACGAAACGCATTCACGGCGCTTTTAATGAAACGCTGATATAAATAAGACACAACAAATTTACTTTGGAAATGAACAGTAATGCCAAGATCATGTTCCGGACGTTCAATATAATTTAGAGCATATTAAACTTCCCGGCGGGCAAGAGACTGGAATTAATTAACACAGAGAACCGGGATTTATTTAAAGAAAATAAACTTCTCTTCGCTCGAACAAACACAGTATATATTTTTAAATTTTAATTAACCGTCTCGCGAACCCGTGTTTCTTCCGACGTTGATTTTTTTTGTAGAACGCTCGACGATTAACGAACTGTACAATTAAATCTTTTGTTTGTAATTTATATGCGTCGGGTTTAAATCGGTAACAGAGGCAAAACATTCGCTATGATTTTAATTCCCATTCGTTCTATTTTCACTGTAAATATTACATTCGAACGGAATTGTATCCGAAACGGGGTCTGAAATAATTATTATTTTTGTAACGCTGCCCGAATAATTGGTACGATCGAATGAAAACGGTTCTTACTGTTCGACTCTATGTATGGTAAAAGCAGAAAGATAACAGTCTTTTGTCCAGACTCCTAAAATAAACTCCTTTTAATTTGTTGATACAGAAAATATTGCTCGGGGTCGTGAAAGACCCCTGTCGAGCCATTTCATGATTAACGGCGTATCGTGAAAAAGTAAATCCCGTAACGATACGACCGTTATCTGTCTGAGCAACGATATCGATAACGGGGATAAGAGCCCCCGATCCATGCACGGTACTTTACACCGCGCAATAGATAAAAGATGTACGAGAACGTTCGTTGAATTTTCGTGGAATTTCGATGGAAACTCCGTTCGCTCAAGACGCGGCGCTTTCCCACGAAAATTCCGTCTGGGAATAATTGTTATTCGTCGGATTCGATGCCCCGCGAATCGATAAAATCGCGACGACCTGGCTTTTGCTCTCTTTCTGTTCCCAATTTTCCAGCGTGCATTGGTCGACGAGCTTTTTAACTGCGATAGCTTTTCCGGCTGATCGATTAACTTTCAGCTTTTATACCGTTCGTGCATAACGGGTACATGTGCACATTATATCCGTTACATTATATGCCGGTCTCGGCGTTACACGACGCTGGAAAAACGTGACAAAATTGAACGAGCCCTCTCCAACGCTGACATTTAAATGACCCGCTGCTTTACACGGTCTGACTATTAAGTGGATTTCTACTCAACCCTTATACGAACAAGGGGCAATTTGAATTCCACCGTTTACGAAATCGTTCCTGTTAAACGAACCCTTCGATCGAAAGGCTATTATCGTCGCCCGCGGTCCCTTTGTACTATTTTTAGGAAGTTACACGTCACCGTCGTTCCGACTCCAAGTTCCGTACTTTTTTTTTAGAACGATAATTATACACCGAAGCAACGCAACGACTCCGACGCGCGAACGGTTCTGTATTCAGAAATTGTGGAAAGTGTTATACCTTCGTGTGTTTCGATAAAAATAATCCTCGAAACAATTTTCGCGCCACACGAACACGAGTTCCCGGAGAGTATTCCCCAAGCGATATTACCTTGGGAAATATTTTGTAACGAAGGGGCGGCGCTCGTAATTATCCAACGAATATAAATTCCTTCCAACGCGGATTGTTGCGAAATAACAAATATTTTTAACGGTTTCGCGATCGCCTTGTTTTCTATATAATTCCTGTCGGACGTAGTCGCGATTCGCAGCTGAACGTTACAAACGCGCGACGACGAGGGATGGAAAGCCACCGTTTAAGGGCGGAACAAAAGAATCTAATTACTAGCAACTATACTCGTCGCAAGTGGCCCGAGACAGAGCTCGACACGAACCGCGGGAAACAATGGGTTAAAGTGCGACGCAAAGCGACCGACCGAGCTTTCTTTTCGAGTTTAACCCATTTCCAGAATTTTTCAACGTTTTCCCCCCGCCTCGCTGCGCGTCAGTAGCGGGACAAAAGCTCCGCCTATTTTTTTTTACCAATATTTCTTTATCGGTGAATAAATTTCGAATCGTGGAAAAGGAGGTGCGCTTTTACATATTTCGAGCTTCCCCTCGAGCGTGTGGATCCGCCCCTGTGTCGAAAGAAATTCAATTTCTGCGAGGGTGAACGATCCGCGGTCCGTTGAAGAAACGGGAGAAGGCAATGTTGTTCCAGACGAGGAATTAACAAACGTTGAGCCAGGGCGGTGCAAACCCAGACGCGTCGTAGAACTCGGGAACTAGATACTTTAGCATCGAGTATGCTCCGGGGATTATAACTTGGCATCTTTGTCCACTGGCGAGATCAGCAAAGTTTCGCAGAATTACGGGAAACTTTGGCCAGTTTTATCAGAATACACCCACAACTTCCCAATCCGACGTGCAAACCCCCATCGATTATATTTTTCTTCCACACGGAAAAACGCTTCTGTTTCCAATCGAACGAAAATACACCAGTCGAATTTTCAATACTATTTTGTAATGCAATTGAGTTCATTCCTATACCTGTTTATTTAAATTTTGTTACCAATAATTTTCAAAGTTAATTTAAAAAATTAATTCTGGAAATTCTGGCAAGCAACTAAATGCAATTAATTACCGATACAAAGTACATTCCGTTCGCGCAAGTGTGGTGTTTATATTTATAAAACAATCGACGGGTCTCGATTATTAATAAAGCAATGGTATTCGTTTATTTATGGTGTCGACGGTTCTTTATACGCACAGTCAATGATTTCCGCCTATTTATAATATTTTTATTCATAATCGCTTCGCACGTCCCTAGAAATTTCAAACGCGTACCAGGAAATTAACGAGACAAGTAATATAATATTGCTTCAACCGTGTTTAATACGCGATATTCCCCATTATCGGTTGCACAATTCCCCGTAAATAACTTGATAATATATTCATTCTTTGCACGGAGTAAACAGCCCGTCTGGCGAGGGCCGTGGAACGCCAATAATCTTCCCCGTGTCCGCGACAGTTACAAATTTCCTGTGCTCGCGAAACCCAGGAACTTAATTGCACGCATTCGACGCCAAATCCGTGGAAAATCGAAGAACCGATAAACGATAACCGATACACAGTCCCGTCTACGAGTACTCGCAAACGAGGCGATAGATCACGTCGACTGTTTCGCGTGGATTTAAACGACAGCCAAGAGGATCGAAGGAATATTTCTTTATGGCGTACGCGGATACACGGGGAGTCGATAAAGCGGGAAAATGAAAAAGGTCGTCGAGGTGTTGGTCTGTCAATGAACCCTACTGCGACTTACCGTCGAAAGACCTAACCTGACTCCGCCCAGTGTCGTACTCCGGACCGACTATTCTCGCGTTCTGGAGCCTCGTGCTTCGCTCGTCGACGCTTCTGGCTCGTCCACGAGATTCACATCCGCGATACGCCGTGGCACTCGGTTCCGATTCGCGCGAGGACCGCGAAAAGCCAGGAAAAACCGCGACTTCGGCCCATCGTGGGACGAGAACTGCCTTCGATGCGGGCTACGCGACTCTGGCGCAGGACTGTGCTCGCTGGGAGCTGCTCCCACGCGAAACCGATGCGTCGCGCGTTCCGACGACTCGAAATCTCTCCCGAACGCGGTTCTCAACCACCACGGAACGCCGTTCCATCGAAAAAAACGATCCACGATCGTCGTTTCGCATCTCGAAATATTCCTTCGTATTATACGCAAATATCGTAAATTAAACGAAATTCCCTATACCAGTCGCGAAAATCTATCAAGCTGAGAACACTTGGGGGAAATTGGGTTTTCAAACGGTAGTGTTCTGTGTTAAGCATAGAATGATTCTTTTTTTTTTCTAATACATAGTTTTGTGTTAGAAACTTTTATAACTATTTTATAACTGAGATTTTGAAATTCTGAAACGAAGCATTTTTGATAGTAAATTGAGCGTGATTTCCCGAGAAGATGCCTAGGTTTTCGCGCGCTTGAGACGAGCCTGATTTCTTGGCGCACGCGCGTCGCGGGCTCCGTTTTCGCGCACATAGGATTCCGATCCGACTGGCGACGAAGTAATTTCGAAAACCCTATACATATTACCAGCTCACAATAGCCTGACGAGCATCATTGTCGCCCCCGAAACTATGGCGATTGCATTTTTTTAGGTCGTTACTGCTTGTCCAAGAACAAGTGCTCGGTTTGGCGGCGAAATAGAAAATCAATGCCAAGCTTCGGAGACTACGGGGAAATTCGATTACCCGCTGAAAATTCGTGCCGGCGCGTTTTCAATAGACGCGTGATTTCGTCGTGCTTTGTTTACAATTTTTCGGGGTGTTTCAATTTTCAGAAAAGAACCTTCGAACGCTTTGAAATACATTTTAAATAATTACATGTAGAAATTAAGACTTATATCTCATTTCTTAGACAGTTTATAAGTTTATAAGATTTTACACATATAGTAATTTTATACTTATGTCTTTTTATTTTTGTATACAAGCGGATTTATATCTGCAAATAAAGAAATAAATAAGCTGCAAGGCAATTCAGCGATCAACAATTGCTATAGACGCAACAGCGAAGAAGTCGATTGCAACATTTCAAGGGTTTGGGTAAATATTATAGAAAGTAGAGTTACGGTTGCCCCCCGGGGCGTATTATGATGATATCCTTAAACAATCGCAAACTTTATCTTTGGAGTTCTGTCGAAGATCCGGGGAGAGGATCAGCGGCGGAAGTTGAAACAGTTACCACCGATGATCCTTTGATCCCAGGTATAAGAGAATGCCGATTGTGAACCCACCAACTTCGCCAATTGCGGATCTTCTGGAACTCGGGAAACACCGCGAGGAGGAACGATCCTCGTTGGCGAATGCTTGCGTTTCAATGGGCTTGTCTAAATTACGAACACGTTCCGGACGTACGCAGAAACTTCTCGCTGTTCCAAAGCTTTGCGCGGACTAAACGCTCTGCTTTCGCCCAAACTCCGTTTTCCCGCCATTTAAATACTTTAATATGCAAACAAGTGTCCAGACGATCAACCTTAAATTTTATTCACAAACAAAACTATACGTGCAATTATCGAAATTTCTCAAATATTTTTCAAACAATTACATAAAATGTCTCACAGAATACCTACGCTTAAATTCTTAGCCAAGTAGAACGAACATTCGCGCAGAGTTTCACGAAAATCCGGAGTTCCCTCGTCAACTAAAATCCCTCTCACTGGCCGCTTAATTATTTTTGTTACTCAGAGGGGGGATCGGAACAGTGGAGTTTCTAGGATTCAGACGATGAGATTTGTGCACCGTGTGTGAGAGGAAGAAATTGGATGGCATGTAGACGCACGCGGACGTCTAGGAGTTCGGATGACTACTTTCCGGAACTAGGATTAGATTTTCAGAGCTCGGAGTCCAGGAGGGCGGAGAAGAATGGGAGCGTTCGCATCAGAAATAGGACGTTCGGGTTCGATTCGACGGTTTGCTGCGCGTGAAAAGGAGACGAAAGTCGGTGGTCGCGTGTTACCGACAAGGAGCACGATATCATCCACACATTGTCTACTGCAGCCGGAGAACGAAACTTTGCGGGGAGGGGGGAGGGGGATCGATAAGAACTGGGTTAATACGATCGACTAAAGCAGCAGACTTCTTTAACCCCGGCGACCAGACATTATATTTAGAGTCGACGTACGACAGATGGCAAAGCAAACAGTCCGACGAGACACGCGACGCCGGATCCTTCGAGCCAACGTCTCCGACCTGTGGCCTTTGTCGATTTATACAGGGTGTTGTACATAATTAAATGCAAATTAATACCTCCGGAAATATCCTCGCGAAACGCTTCGTTCGAGAAATATTCACTTTCAAAGTTGTTTCCTTGTATTCTTAGAGATCGATATACACGCGCGATATACTTCGAGAATGTTCTTTGTTTTCCGGAGCAAAGTTTGGAAAACACCCTATACCGAAAGTTTTACGAGAGACGTATAATCGAGGACAAAATGGAACGAGCAAACGGAGGAAATGGTTGTCGTAATAAACGCCTTATTATTAGTGTCTAGTCACACGCTATTTGCTATATATGTATTCTCTTGGTACACTAGATATTTCATCAACAATAGAAATTCATATCAACACAGCCGCAGGAGGAAATTGTATTTAACGAACAAAGCGGCTAATTGGAATGGGACAAAATTCAGTGGACACGTTAAAAGCATCGTGCTCAATTACTATTGTAATTAATTTATAATTAATATTTAACCTTATCGCTTTTAGCAACTGCTTTCAAACATCGCGGTATGTTGTTTATTGGCACTCAAATGCAACGTCATTTTAATATATTTAACGCGTTATTAGATTTTTTTATCCGCTACTTGATAACCGCCCCATAAGAGAGAAACTGGTTGCTTTAAATGTTATTTTAATTAAATCCGAAGCGATACTCGCGCGACCAAAAACGAACATAAAGTCGTGGAAGGGAAAAGAAAGACTTCCATTCCAGGATCGATTCGCGTTAAAAACAAGGAAGATTGTGCCCGTTAATTTTCAATAGCGTCGTTCGTTCTTTTCATCAAACAAGCTGATAAAGTTTTACTCGCCACCATCGTCCGCTGTAGCCGTTTGCGTTTATAGGTTACTCTTACGCCGACCTATGTCGCGACTTCCGGTCGAAGTGGACCATGAGTCCTCCTGCTAACATCCCTCTTTCAGTGATCCCGAACAACCCTCAGGCGGTACAATTTTAACCTCGCAGTATTCTTCGCCCCGTGACTCGTACAAAAAAATAAAACTAGCAACTATCTGCACCCCGACGCGGAGAGCGTCATTTTCGTGGGCGTGTCGCGTAATTTTCGCGACCATCGGCGCGGAACGAAGGACGTCGAGTCCTCCAGATTCGATGGTCAAAACAATCCATTCCACTTGGTTGGCAGCGACCGTCGGAATCACTTTCAATTTCGCCCGACAGCCGCGAAGACGAACGGGTTAAGGGTTAATCCGGTATCAGGAGCTTGCGTGTCCCCGCTTTGGGGGGTCCGGGCGTGGGATGTACGACGAGCCCTGCGCACAGAACGCGTGGTTGGAAGTCGCGAGGAAACGCGGAACCGCTTCGAGGATCGCAGCCTCAGTCTGCGCGCGACACTTGCCCGAGACACGTCGCGTTCCCTGCCCGCTGATAAGTGCATTACGCGGTACCCTGCGTTCCCCGATCACGAGGGCCCTTGCGAACCAACGAAACTGTAACCGTCTGCTCGCCTGCATGCCTCTGGACCAGAGAAACGCGCCAGAATGGAGGGATTCCCTCGAGTCCCTTTGAGTTTTCAGGGCTCGATCACCGATTGCTAACAGGTTCCAGCTCTTCCAAAGAGAAATTGGTCGCTGTCCTAGCCGGGGTCTTTGTTTCCGTGGCCTAAGCGCCGCAAGAATTCCGAAGAACCCGCAGGTTGCACGACGGAGGGGCACCAGTGGCGGTCAAAATGTCCCCCGACGCGCGATTAGAAACAGGCGATTCCGAGTGGTCGTTGAATCGAAACGGACGCCAGGTAGAGTCGTGGACAAGTGCAATGAATGGAGGGCCGCGTTCGTCGGTCGTTCAGGCCTAATCGCGAGGCTGCTGCACTCGACGTGCAATTGGACCCTTTGTCCCACCGGACGGCTCGATCTCGTTCTGTGACGCGGAACAACCGTAGCGCGAACTTTTGTGATTTCTGCTTTTCGTTGATCGAAAGAAGCATCGATAGCCTTCTTACTTTTCACCATTGACTTTCCAATATTATTCTTGGCCGCAGTTCGAATACAGACTCGATTTTTGTTATCGCAAAAGTGACCAGTGAAATTTTGATCCGAGAAAAGAGCGTGGCCAAAGACGTCTGGAGAGAAATAAGCACTTGAATGTGAGATCGGTTCGATCGAGGGATCAACGATGCTGCCGCGAACGGGCGTGAGAGATCGCGCGGGTCCTGGAAAATTGATCGACGATCGCAGCAACGTCGCCCGCGGCGGAAAAATGGCCGGCAGAAGGGCTTGAAGAGGAGACGCAACGACGAGAATGAGAATCGTGTCAAGATCGAGCGTTAAGTGAGGTAAGAATGGTCGAGTTTTATCGTCGATTAGCATGACGACCCGTTAATGGTGCTGGCGGCCGCACCGAGGAACCGCGAGGAGAATTTCGATGTATTAAAATTGCTGGGGATACAAACTCTGGTTGCTTCGAAAAGATTGGCTTTAATATACTTGCAACGGTTTTAAACAATTGTGATTGCTACGTCACCTATGTGCTTTAATTTTGTAGATTGTTCTTCGACTCTGCAACAGCATGCATACACATTGAATTTCGGAATAAAACATTTGGAATAGATTTTTAAATTGCATTTCTTTCAATTGTAAAAAATGAAATTGCGATTTTTTCAACAGTGATGTTCCGGTTATTCCATTTACATCTGTCAGACGCATAGTGGGTTAGAATTTGTACGCCGCGCGACACAAGTAATCAACAAATTTCAGTGACAGATATTCCATGAATAATCTCTTTAATTCCTTTATATAACACGCAGCTCTATTTAACCTTCTCCCCTCCTCCCCTCGAACTGACCCAGTGGTGAATTAACGAATACAAATGTTTTATATTTTCTGGAATTAAAACACGGTTTCTATATTTTGAAAATTAGATTCTATATTTTGGTCTATTTACGAATACTGTGACATCAGACGGATCAAGCCTTTTGTTTTTTATATTTTCCGGGAAAGTAATCCTTTATGTGCATTGTTTATTTCTTCTATGTAATAATGTGTGTGCAGGTATACATATTTCACCAGTAGGTCACATCCGGGGCGAAAACTTTTCCGTTGGAATGTTTGTCTCCGTCTGTTTCAAATGCGATTCCCGTGGCGCGTATCGTTCGATGTTTCAATGCGTTCTATTACGAATTCTCTCGCATTCGGGGATGGCGAATTGGAAACGAGGTGGAAAGTGAAATGGTGGAAGAATGTCCGCCTTCTTTTCCCAGCGTATATTTCTCCAAAATTCTTGGAAGTCAGCTCGCTGCATCTAATTGTTTCAGTGGCTCACGGTCAGGCACAGGCGAATGCAACGTGCAGCTGTCCAAGAAACCCGGAGTTTACGGTCCCGGGGATAAATAACCAAAGTTTTACAAGCCCTAAAGTCCGTATGTTTGGACACGAATAAAAGCACACTAGAAAGTTGAGAACGAATCCAATTTTGTCAAAATAAATCTGGAAATTTGAAATTGTAACTTATGGAAGGATCAAAGCGGAAAAGGTTATGAAATCAACAATGGAATTACAAGCTTTAAAACGCAAAGGAATTGAAACAGTTTGTAAATGTATTTAGAGGGTTGAAATTATCTAAATTATCTAGCAACGTTGTTTCGTTTTTTCTCCAAAATCACGTACATTTTTCCAGACTAGATGTTCCAAGTTCCAATTCGAACAGGGCGCTGAGTCGCTCTAACAACCCCCCCAAAAAAAACTAGTAGCAAGAAATCTTACGAGAGGTAATCACTGCGGATGTAATGCGGTATCGTCTACTTTTTCTCTTTCTAGCTCCCTCGGAAGCGAACGTCACGAGCTTCGATGGCGGAGAAAAGTATTCGGTGGTCTCTCCCGATAGAAAATGACTTAATAATTTAGAACGCATCAAATATTAAACCGTAACACAGAATACTGTTAGTTTTAAAATAAACACGGAAACTAGGAAGACGAAGGATCAATTTCTGTTGTTATTCCCAATAGTAAATCATAGATTATCCCGAATTGTCCGTTTAACTACAAATGGCAGGAGTTTCGATGGCTGCGATAGCCGCGGGTCAACGCGCCGAGCTATAATTCGGACGATCCCAGGGATTATTTGTTTTATCCATTTCCCTTCTCCCCCAATTTATCGAATCTCCCAAAATGTCGCGTTAAATTAGATTTCCACGAAATCTAATTTCATTTTATAATTTAGATCGTAATGTTCGTCGAACAAATAACGGATCGAAATCTTTTCAAGGGGAAGGGTCGTAGGTTATTCGACTATTATACAAGGCCACCTCTGGGAAAAATTTTAATGGGAGATTCCAAAGGACAAAATAAAATTTGTTGGTTGTGGCTTCGTTAAAAAATTATTAACGTTTAAAGAAAAAAAAAATATCAAATTGTTCTGGAAAAAATATATTTGGCTGCAGGGGTCAGTTACAATCATTTTTGGTAAATAAACATACTCCCGAATTCCTACACAGTTTCGAGAAAAAAATTCATTACTGAAAGTATAATTTTAGGCCAGAAATGTCTGCCCATAATTTCATGTGTATGTTTAAAACGTCATAACTTCTGAACGGATTGGAGGATTTTAATGTTTAAAAATGCAATCGACGCGTATTTGGATGAAGAATATGTAGAAATTCCAAAATTATTCGAAAAGTTGTTCCTTGAGCCCGAAAAGTGCAAAAACCCCCATAAGAGTGGTCCAATTTTCAAACGTCCATAACTCCTACAATAGTGAATATATTTCAATGAAATTTTTCTCTGAAGTAGAGCCCATGGGTACCTACAAAAAAGTATTAGACAACTTTTCTATAAAAATCAAAAACGAATTATTACGAAAAATCGACAGGGGTGGGTGCCGAAATTTTTCGGTGAAAATAAGAAATTCTAAATCGTTCTGAAAAAATTATTTTTATCTAAGGGGGTCGATTACAATCATTTTTGGTGAATAGACATACCCCCATATTCCTACGCACTTTTGAGAAAAAAATTCGGGTAGGTGTGAAATTTTTCGACAAAATTGAAATATTTCAAATTGTTCTAAAAAAATTACTTTTGGTTACAGGGGTCAATTATAATAATTTTTGATGAATACACATACCCTCGAAATCCTATGCGTTTTAGAGAAAAAAATTCGTGCAGGTGGACAAATTTGATCAATAATTATGTTAATAACTTTTTAACGAAGCCTCAATCGACAAATTGGTATTCTTGATTTTCGTCTTATTTTGGCCTCTAGAATCTGTCATTAAAATTTTTCCCAGGGGTAGCTGAACACCCTGTATAACGGATTCGCGACTCGAGAAGGATTGGAAAGATATAATTCGTCCCTCGGGATGTATAACACTGGGCAACCCCCGTAAATGTATCGAAAATAAGGTCTCGCGAGGAATTCTCGGCCTACCAATGCCAAAAGGTTCTTCTCCACCCCCGGTTTGGATGTTTCGGAAGACTAAAATCGCTTCACCATGTGGTTACATAATGATTCCGTGCATCTATGCCACGCAGCTGTCAAGCGTCTTGGCACGCGAGCCAAGATACATACCGCGAATCAGAAGGAGTAACGTGCTTTGTCGCTTGCTCCTTAACTGGCAAGAATCCGTGCAGCTGCATGTATATTGAACAGCTGGAAAGAATACCCCCCACACAGGATTTAGATACTAATCAGAATTTTTTTAAACGGTTACTTGATTCGAGCATAGAGCCACGTGGTGGATAGACGTTGATTATAAAAGGGAAAATAAAAAATTCTCTACTGTAAATTCAGCTCATGGAAGAGTTGTTAATATTATTATTAGAGCACGTAAATTCGAAGCACAAATTTAATTCATGATGGTTCTGTTCGACGGTTGGAAAACGTTTCAGGGCCCAGAGACCTGTGGAACTTTGTTCGAAGGCGTACGTGAAATGTTTAGTTTATTCAATGGGAGTGCATAATGGAGATCTACACCGTGGAACAAAGAAACCCTGCAATTCGACCACGGTTAGAAGTATCCCAGAATTCGCTCTCGAGTTTGCCTTCCTCGTGTTAAACGGCCAACGAATTCGTTTCCATTTAGGTTTGCTTATATTTCATGATTGAAACTCGAAGAATCGATCACGTTATGAAAGCGCTAGGCAAAACGTAATTTGTAATTAATTGCAAGAAATCGAACGATTTTTCAAACTCAGCGTCGCGTAAATTAAATTTGGATTTCCGTGAAGGCTTCCTTTTCAATTTTATATCATAACTCATCCGATGCAGTCTCATACAATGAACCCTCTTCAATGGATGTAACTCCTCTGTTAGCAATCCCTTTCTTTTATTCTTGACAATATTGCCTCGCGCGTCGACTTCACCGTATTCATAAAACGACGCGCCTCGCGACAATGCGAGAAAAATAATCGATATTTGAAAACCGTCGAAGTGGCATTCCTTCTTAAAACTAAAGAAACGCCAACACATTTTTATTCCCGTCTATTCTGGAATCCTGAATAATTCTTATTTCCGTCAACACTGGTCCGAGAAAATAACGCGAGAGGTTATCTGTTCTATTTTCGTAGCCGCGACGCGTCCCTGAATGCTTGCATCCCTTTTTAGACCATCCATTAAAATACCCCAATACAAAAGACAAAGAATTCCTTACTCCTTTTCTTTTCGTCCAAAAAGAAAATATTTCCTCAAATTTTTGAAGAAAAGAAAAGTATTCACTAATTTATAAATCACTTTTCACTTTATTAATAAATTTATCCCCTTCAAGTTTCACAATCATGAGGCTACTCGTCATCAAGCCTCATATATTAAAATAAACACTTTTTTACATTCGTAAAACAAGTTATTCTTTGTAGCCATTCCTCATACGGACAAATTTAAACAAAATGACTGGTTTTCAGCATAATTTATATTTTTTAATATAGAATGAAGATAATAGCCAATTTTACAGTATAAAAATATAGTTTCTTTTATTAAATTGTAGAATAGAAATATAAAATAATAAATGGCTGCCGAATATGCTTCAGGCAACTTTCACGTTTTGATGCTCTCTGTTCGAATCACAAGACTTTACTGATTTAAATTCGTGAGAAGTCGTCTAGGCATCCCCTTCGGTTATGATTTTATTTATTTTACAGTTATAATAAATAAGATGGTGTAAGAAAATCCGAGGTTTTGAACCTCTTCAGACACCGTAAGGCCGATAAGCTAGTGAGAATTATGAACACTTGGAAGTGCCTAAAGCAGTCTCTGGAAGGCACTTTTCAGCTAAAATCATGCCACATCTGCATTATCCTTCGTTTGCAACGACTTTATAGTTTCAGAATTGAGTCTTTCAGATAATAC